GGGGGGGAGGGTGGAGCTCAAAAGGTCTCCATGGACCTAGGCTGCCTGGTGAATCGATCCCTGACTATCGTAGCAGAAAGAAAGTTGACAATGGCCACCAAAATCTCTCTCCACAGGAGGTTCCTCAGAGAAGGCAGTGGGAATATGGTCCCATATTCCAATAAGGGCAGAACATGTAGTTGGTAATTGATTCATTCCACGAATACTTATTAAGCACCCACTTTGAGCTAGGCACTATTATCTTGGCTTCTTCCTTCCTGTTGTATTTACATGGAAAATGAAGTAAATATCTCCTTTTTATGTAGCATTAATACTTGTTACAATGAAAAGGAAACAAAAAATATAGTTGATATCAAGTTGGGATATTTGGGCTGCAAACAGTGATTACACGATGATTTTTCCCCAAAATACATTACAGAACAGCAAAAGGAGAAATCGCCACATTGACGAACAAGAATGAGAATTGGCTCAGAAGCAATTGCCTTTGCTAATCTTGTCAATAGCGAACGTATTTAGAGGGTACAGGCTTATTTTAGGAAAACGTTTTCTGCATGCCACAAACTGACATTTACCTTGCTCAGAAAATGAGTCTTAAGAGAGATCAGTTGGGGGCCCATCTCCTGATGGCTGGAGGATGCTGGAGATAAAATCTAACAAAGCTAGGAAGTGAAGATCTCAAAAAATTAAAATTTTAAAAAAAAAGCAACAACAGTGTATGGGAGAAACTAATGCCCTTTGGTCCTCTTGGGAATAAATAAATATTTATTATAGGCTTTCCCACTTCATGGAGCCACCCCTGCCCCAGTCATCATATGTAAAGCTCAGGGGGCTCTCTAGGGGGCTGGAGGGTGGTACAGGCTCAACCCTTTGTCTTCTGGTGGAGACTTTGGGCCTGGCCAAAATGTTTCCATGGTTTAAGTGATAATAGATATGGGCTCCTAACCACCGAGGAGAATTACTCTGGAGTCACAGAACATATTTAGTAGACTAGACAACAGTGTGGATTGTCATATCTGAATCCCTGATGGTTTAATTCCTTAATGCTTAAACTCCATTAAAGAATAGCATGAATTTCAAAGAGAAATAACGCTTCAGCATTTGTGGGTTATTAAACTAAAACATATTAACACCTTGACAGCATACAAGTCTTATCTTAAAATCTGTAATTGTGTGCATCTTCTAGTCTTTCTAGGCACATTAAAATTCTGAGTTTCTTTTAAAAAAGTCTGAATTTCTTCTTTGCTTACTAAGTATGTATGAACAATGACCAATGGTGAATGTGACAAGGTTAGTGGGTATTTAACATTAAGATAAAATAAAACCAAACTCAGGGCCCAACACAGAGGTGGTCACCAAATAAGAGAAAGGAGAAAGTCAAATTTGATCCCAGGTTTACAAACCAGCCTTGATTCTGGAAGTAATGTTTTCTTCAAAACAGATTTCTGTTTTACCACACAGCCTTAACACATAGGTTCATAGTTAGAAAAAAAATTGATGATATAAATCAACTATTTTCAAAACAAGAGTAAATTAAAAAAAAAAATTCTTCAAGTCTTTTTCCTTCTGTCTTCCATTCAGTTTAGGAGGGAGGCATGTTACTGATCTAACATAGAATTCCAGGGAAAATGCCTCTTGATTTCCATGGTATACATTTATACATTATATATTATACACTTGCTGCCCTGGCTATTTGCCAGAGGCTGACCATTATGGCCACTTGAAGACAGGAAACACTGTCTTCATACCTCTGTGACCCTAGCATCTGGAGTCATGCCTAAAGCATTGCATCCACTCTGATGGTTGGTGATTGGGTGAATGGAGTAAATGTTTACCCAAATTAGAGAAGCCTAACAAACTCGAGGTGCAAATGAAAATTCCTTCTCTGGCCTATCTAGTTGGTAAGTGATCCTCATTCATTCTTCCAGGGACGTTCTCTATGCACCCACAGCATGTGCTCTGCTCGAATACCTGGTACGAAAAGGTACCAGAATACAAAAGAGCTAAATAAGGCTCCTGCATTTCAGTAGCTGGTCTCGAGCCCACAAACACCCTTGAATTACTTCAGGCCCCTGTTCTGTGCCTCTCTCTCTGTGGACTTGCACTTCGCAGCACAGGCTCTAAGTGACACACAAACTGTTAATAGAGTCTGCTTTGTGGAAAGGAACTTCGAGGAATCAGAGATGCATCCATTTGCTGCAATTGCACCTGTAAATTAGCATTTTCCCCAAACATCACCTCCCTTGCACCCACACCAACATCTTCCTACCTGGAATAAGGCTTCCCAAGTGTGTGTTAAATCTAAGAATGACCTTCTTCCCAGCAATGCATAGCTTCTTAGCCCTAAGCTTACTGACTGCTTAGGGGTACTTGACGTTCTCCTGGTTGCTTATCATTTATTTTCCTTTGTTCTCTTCCTTGCCCTGCTGACCGACCGATGGCAGAGAGGTGTTCACGAAATCCGTGAGATCAGACAGTTTCACTTCACTGGCTGGCCGGATCACGGGGTACCCTATCATGCCACAGGGCTGCTGGGGTTCGTCCGGCAGGTCAAATCCAAGAGCCCGCCCAACGCAGGCCCATTGGTGGTGCACTGCAGGTAAGCAGAGTGCCTGGAGCCTCTCAAAGGAAGCCTCTCAGTGGGCAGGGGGTACAGGGGCTCCTTTGGAGTAATGACAGTGTTTTGGAACTCGATAGAGGTGATGGTTGCACAACATTGTGAAGGTGCTAAATGCCACTGAGCTGTACACTTCAAAATGGTTCCTTTTATGTGGTATGACTCTCACCCTAGCAAAGATGTAAAAGAAGGAGAAGCACAGGGGTCCTTTTTCCGCAGCTGACAGGGCCCTCTTTCCACCCAGTGCTGGTGCAGGGAGGACCGGCTGTTTCATCGTGATCGATATCATGTTGGACATGGCAGAAAGAGAAGGCGTGGTTGACATCTATAACTGCGTGCGGGAGCTGCGGTCACGGAGGGTGAACATGGTGCAGACAGAGGTACTGCTGCTCCCTGCCCATCCTCGGGCTTGGTCCCCCGTACCCCCCGTGCCCCATCTCCCACAGCCAAGTGGGGAAGAAACACTGACAATTCTGTCTTCAAAACTCCCCAGAAGAAAAAGTGATAAACCTGGCATCTCTCTTTCCTTCTTCCTCCCACCTCCCCTCCCTTCCTTCTTTTTCTTCTCCTTTCATAAACAAAAAAGATCGGGAGTCTCCCAGGTAATGGAATCTGCAGCCAGGAGCCTACATTTGCCCATGCTTCTGTATCAAGGGCCCCAGTAGAGTCTCTATATTAAGCTTCCAGGGATTCAGTACTATTTTTTTTATTATGTCTTTTAAACTAGCTAGTAACCAGAGCAAGACGACTCCTGAGAATAGCCAGGTGTTTTCCAAGTGGCTTAAGGCTAATCTCTGTACACTTTATTCCAAATTCTGCCCACTGGCTTGGCATCATGGGAATTTGCGCATTTTGTATAAATACTCCATGCTGACTAGTACGTCTATAAATTAGAATTCAAGGTGTGTCAGGAATTTAAGTGTTTGAGAAAAAAAAATTACATCCTGCCCCGAGGAACTTCATATTTTTACTTAATGTTTGCTTGTTTTAAGTAGGCATTACACCCACCACCTAGGGAAAAATGATTCATAAAGCAGAATGAAGGGGCACCTGGGTGGCTCAGTCGGTTAAGCATCTGCCTTCGGCTCAGGTCATGATCTCAGGGTCCTGGGATCAAGCCCCCCTTGGGTCAGGTTCCCTGCTCGGTGGGGAATCTGCTCCCTCTTCCTCTGCCCCTCCCCCCACTCATGCTCAGGCACACGTGCTCTTTCTCTCTCAAATAAATAAAATCTTTTAAAAAAAAAGCAGAATGAAGAATAAATAAGAATCCCTTCCATTTAGATTTTGCATTCAAGTTTACAAAAGCCACTGGTTTCAAGTTTACAAAAACCTAATTCCATTTTCAAATAACCTAAATAAAAATAGCAGAAATTCTGCTTTCATCGTCTTTTTTCTCTGGAGTAGGGATTCTTTGCTTTAAAGATGATAATGATAGTAATGTATTTTTTAATGTATTTTACAGCCAGTCAAATGTGCCACATCCCCTTTCCCGCTTGCTCTGTGTCTGAAGTGTTACTAGGACTGGGCTGTTTTTGAGAATTAAGAGTCCTCATAATTTGTTGAAATTAAAGTAAAAAGTAATGAGACTCTTTTTGCATCTCATGTAATTAAAGATCAATAATAAATATGGTAAAACTTTACTGATTAATTGTAGGGAAAATCTGTGCCATTTTAGAATGAGAAGGCTCTTTTGTAAGCTGTGGACTAGTGCCTACATATAAGAGCTCTTCTCCGGACACGTAAGGACTTTTGTAATTACCACATTAATGTTTCAAAAGAAGTAGTTCTAAGTGCTCGGAAATATTTATTTTCATAGGGATGTCAAGTTTCCCTGGACATTCTCTGCACTGTTGACTTGGTTAGCAAATGCCTCTTTTCAGGACAGAGAGATGAGATTGTGCTCCTCTCCTCACCTGAAATATTGAGTCCCAAACTCGTGGGCTCAGAATTACAGAGGTAGTTAAGCCACAGCTACGTAGATGACAGTGCTTGCCCTGGGATTTATCAGTGTCTGAGTGGTTTTCATCAATCTGTGTCATGCTTCTCTGCGTTGAACCCGTGTGTCTCTTCCTCCTGTCGTGTGCTACCTGTGGCCAGTCAGGATACATGCCAGCCATCCCACGGGGGCATCAGCACTACCGGTAGCAGGATCCCCACCTCACAGCGGTCAGGTCCTTACACCTGGTTTCGCTGTGGCGGGAATGGATTATCCATGACGGGCCACTGTCCCATTATCTTGTCTGCAGGGCGCTGTCTTCCCTTCTCTAGTTCTCCCCATGCACCTGGTTTCTCTATCACTAACTCGTCCCCTCTGCTTCTCCAGGAGCAGTATGTGTTTATCCATGATGCCATCCTGGAAGCCTGTCTTTGTGGTGACACCTCGGTCCCTGCTTCCCAAGTTAGGTCTCTGTATTATGACATGAACAAACTGGATCCGCAGACTAACTCCAGCCAGATTAAAGAGGAGTTCCGGGTAAGTCATGCGAGGGGGAGAGGGAGCTGGCTGTGACCTTGCTCCTTCAGAAGTCTCTCAAAGTCAGCTCTGGAACCCCTGAGCCAACACAGAGCTTGTCAACTTCAGCATTACTGACATTTTGGGCTGGCTAACTCTTGGCTGTGAGTGCTATCCTGTAGGATGTTTAGCAGCAGCCCCTGGCTTCTACTCCCTGGATGCCAGGAGACCTCCACCACACTAGCAGTGACAATCAACACTGTGTGTAGACATTGCCGGGGCCCCTGGGAGCAAAGGGACCTGGTTGAGAACAACTGGTCTAGCAGAGCCATTAAGCCCCCTTGCAGGCAGACACCAGGCAGTCCTACAGTGTAACATGGGTGCAGCCAGACTGAGCAAGGTGCCCTCACCGTACTTGCTGGGCGGTTGGTCTAAGTGTACCTGACTCTAAGTCAAATTGTAGCCAACCTCTTCCCCCTACGCACCCAGATGTCCAGCCCTCGTCAGACCAGGTGGCACCTAATCCAATTCTCCAGATCTACGGTGGCCCTTATATCTGATGGGCACCGTCTGTGGACAAAATCCAGGGGGGAGAAAAGGGCACTGAGTGGGGAGGGGGATCAGGGGGAGGTGGGGGCGAGGAGCACCCGGTCGTCCGCTGAGGACACTCAGACCTGCCGCAGTGTGAAGGTGAGACGGGGCGGCACGCAGCGTGCTCTTGCCCACGTGTCCGCGTGCTGTCCGGTAGACCCTGAACATGGTGACGCCAACCCTGCGCGTGGAAGACTGCAGCATCGCGCTGCTGCCCCGGAACCACGAGAAGAACCGCTGCATGGACATCCTGCCTCCGGACCGCTGCCTGCCCTTCCTCATCACCATCGACGGGGAGAGTAGCAACTACATCAACGCCGCCCTCATGGACGTAAGTCAGCCCGCGCGCCCTGCCCCGGAGGAACCGGGAAGCCCTTCCTCCCGGGCAGCAGCGGCTTCTCCTTCCGCTCCCTGGCCCTTGTTCGTTCCTTTTCTTTTCTTTCTTTTTTTTTTTTTTTTAAGATTTTATTTATTTATTTGAGAGAGAGAGAATGAGAGAGAGCACATGAGAGGGGGGAGGGTCAGAGGGAGAAGCAAACTCCCTGCCAAGCAGGGAGCCCGATGCGGGACTCGATCCAGAGACTCCAGGATCATGACCTGAGCCGAAGGCAGTCGCTTAACCAACTGAGCCACCCAGGCGCCCCGTTCGTTCCTTTTCTTAAGACGCAAACCATCTTCCCCACAAAGCGCATTTCCGATTCCACGTACGTTTCTGCGTCGCGGCCAACGATCTCGGTCTCCCGGAGACCACCAGTCGGGAAGTATTGATAAATGAAACATGTCCCTGGTACTCTGTGAGCACTTTTTTAACCCGCTGGCCAGAGAGCGAGAACAGCTATTAAGTCACTAAAGCAGAGAAGTGGGATAATATGGTTCGCAGCATTATTTTCATCCCCTGTCCTCCTCATTTAGACAGTAATTAACATGGGGGAAAAAATGGTCTGTCAGGACAGATAGCACACAACTCATTACTTCGTGTCAGTCTGTTTACTTCTAACTGAATGAACATTTGCTTGGTCGATTGATGGGAAAAGTAAATGGATATTTTCAAGGCTAGTATGGAAACTTGAATTCTGTTGGTGTAGTATCAGTAAAAAGGTACCTAAATTTACTTGAAGCTCTCCAGAGCTGTGAAAAGCATGTGTATCCTTCTGTGGCAGGAATGAGTAACACCATCGAAGTGACCCTCGAATAAATTTTAGGAAAAGCAGAAGTATTTTCATTGTACATACTTTGTAAAGTTACATTTTCTCCATTAAAATGCTTATGTGTAGGGCTGATGTTGCCTTTCTAGCAGATATATCAAAAAATTTGTAAGAGCTACTTATTAAGTTTTCTGGGTGTCAAAGTGAGAATACTTTATCATTATTAGTCTGCAGATCAGTCTATATTTAGTCTGTTTTGGTGTTGACAGGGGTGCTGGGATTCAGCAGTTGTTAAATGTGCCCAGAGTTCCGTGTCACAAATTTCCATGTGTACAAGATAACTGAAGCTTCCTCCCTTTCCATTTTCCTGGGTATATCTGGATCTCTCTTGTTTGTGTTTGCAGAGCTATAAACAGCCTTCGGCTTTTATAGTCACCCAGCATCCTTTGCCAAACACAGTGAAAGACTTCTGGAGACTGGTCCTGGATTATCACTGCACGTCAGTGGTTATGCTAAATGATGTGGATCCTGCCCAGGTGAGACTCGTGCCCAGGGTCAACTCTGGGTTTGTTCTGCTTGCGCATTGAGAAGTGCAGGCCCCCGTGCCAGGTCACAAACGCCAGGTGACGAGTGGGAGCCGGAGCTGAAACGCAAATGTGAAAAGCAGATGGAATTAGGGATGGGGGGCGAAAGTAATCTGAAACCAAAAAGACGGATGGAGATCATAGCTGGTGGAAGTGACAGGCAAGACAGGGTCAGAAATTGGCTGTTCCCAAAGGATGGAAATACAAACTAAAGGGAGATACAGGGTAATGGGTGGAGTCAGAGCTGCGGGATGAGGATGTCGCACCACCTGCACCAAACAGAGCCAGCAAACCAGGGAGCCCCGAAGAAAGCAGAGCAGCACCTGACGCAGTCCCTCGCCCAACCAGCACGGCTCACCTGGAGCCTGCAGGTGGAGAGGGTCATGCCGGGGTGACAGTGGAGACCGGCAAGTGATTTTAAGGGACAACGATTACTTTTGTCAACTCTTTGGTAAAGATAGTAAAAAGAAATGAAACCGGCACTTGAACACAAGAGAAGCTCAGAATGATAAATGCGGCTTTCCCCCAGCTGCTGCCCTTAAACATAAAAAGAGAAAGAATAGGACTGTGTTGACTTGGGTACTAGTAATGGGGTTAGAAACATTCCCCTAAAGGGCCTTGTCAGCAGGCATTGGCACAGTGGCCCTTTAGGAGCTGAATTTATTGCATTAGGGGATGGCGACGTTGGCTGCGCGCTTGACCGCCATGACAAGAGAGCATTATGGGAACTGTGGACTTACTGCGTTTTAAGAATAAACTTGTTCTGAAACTGAATTAATTTTCTATCTGGTAGAGACAAGTTTTAAAAAGAAAAAAAGGGGTCTGAAGTGTTTCAGCATCCAGCCTGGACAAGATTTTTCCTTCCTAAAATCAATTTTATTGTCGTCAATCTGCCATAAATTCCATGGACATTCACTTCAATTCTATAGTGTTTTTAATTATGTTTGAGGCCCTACATGATATTGTTAAGGCTGTAGCCTGAAAGCTAGTGAATGAAATAATAATGATAATCCTTGTCCTCATCTAGTCCTTTTTGCTTAAGAAACTTAAATATTTTAGAAGTCTTCCACACCGATTCTCTCCGAAAGAGAGATTGCAGCCATTTTTAAAGACAAGCAGACACCACAGTTAAGGGAACTTCAAAGGCCCAACTCAAAATGGCACCAGGGATCCTGATTTTCTAACTCACGGTGCCATGGGTTAAATTTCACTAATTTAAGATTCTTCAGCCAAAGACCATTAGAGGACAAGTGACTATTCCCTCTTCAGAATCATTCCCTTTCCCCTAATGTGAATCCTGGAACATTCCAGTGATATACTGCCTTTTTCATATCAGTGTATCAGACATTAGTGATTTTGTTCTTTTTGAATGACAGTATTGGAATTCTAAAGCTGCATTCTAAACCCGAACTGTCTGGATTCAAACCAAGTCTTGGCCAACCATGGTAGGAGAGACAAAGAGTCCAATTCCACTCGGCAGACAGAGCTGATTTTCAGAGAGAGAGAAAGAGGCTCCTGGGACACAGTCATTTAGAGAACACTAAACTGAGCGTTTGAACTTAAAGTCTCTGCAGTTGTACAAGAATAGCACTCAACTATTTTAAGTATTTATAGATCCGGTTCATGGACATGTTATGCACCATTTAAGCCATTTTCTACACAGTTTACTTGGGCTGAGTGCAGAATGTAGTGTGCCAAGAACCACGCACTGGCCCAAGCCATTCATATTTCTCTGGTGTAAGTGACGAGCTTTAATCAGGACTTGAACTGAGAAAGCAAGCAGAAAGCACAGCTAGCTCAGTGTGGAGAAAAGTGGGCAGAACAGTTCAAATGTGCATGTTAGGACTTGTCTTACCATCTCGACTTCCCGTCATAATGCCTGTTAATTTTAACAGTGGGTACTCTTGGGTATAAAGAAAAAATAAACATCAGCATGCTGTCATTTGACAAGGCAGTCTTAGAACTTGTCACCAGGAAGTGCTGGTAAGGAAGGGAAATTTTTATGGAAGCATTATTTTAAAATAAATAAATGTAATTTTTTAAAATACTATAGACTTAGCTAACATAAAAAGTACCCTTAGTTATTCCACCCTCATTCTTGATCGTAAAGTTCAAACCTCAACTTCTGTGTAATAGAGAGAGATTGCCGTTTCAGTTGACTCGCTGTTGGCTGAAAACTATCTTGCAATCTTGGATATAAATCAACCTTTACAACCTTTGACGGTAAGATTTTAGATATTTTGGAAAATAAAAGTCATAAAAAAAAGGAAATTCGACAGGTGGATTCACCTTTTGTGGTACATCATTCTGCTTAAAATGAGATAGGTTTTTCATCTGCTCTTGGCCCAATAGAAACCAGTTATAAGATAATGAAGTAATTCCCTCTTGGCCCCCCACAAGCCATTTGTCCCTTGGGTAAATCAGAAAGATAAAAATTAAACTCTACTCCCAAAAACATCATTAGATACCAAGTCCCAAAAGAAGTTTAATTTCAGACATTAAAGGCCTATTAGCATCTCAGGACTTTAGGAAAAGTCTGAGAAGGAAAAGTCCTGGGGGTTCTCCCCACCTATCTGCAAGTTTAGTATTTCTGTGGGGTGGTAGCAAACACAGGTGCCTCTTTCATAAGCCACCCTTTCCAGCATCACGTTCACACAAAGTTCTGGTTACCCGGTATCACCAATACCTGGCGCTTGAAATTGTGATTTTAATTAAAACTACCTCCAGGCAAAACAGCAAAGCATTTACTCTTATTACATCAGGTTTCCTAGATTTCAGCTGGGAGAATTTGGACCAGATCATGAAAATGCAACCCAACACTGTTATCAGTATCTTGGGAATGGCCCTATTCCCAAAAGTGATAACAAATTACAAAGCAAGCCCACGTGGGGGAGGATGGAGATTTGTGTATCAGTAGGTACGTGCACCATCTCAAGTATCTTAGCTCTTGTAATGGCAGCCAGTGGCATCTCTCCAGGGCCGGATAAAGGCATGCAGAAGGGATCTTACAAAGGGATGCATTGAACAGCATCCACATGGCCTCCTTGGAAAGCAGAATGGCTCGTGGCTTAAAGATGCTTTCTGAGGAAATGAAGAAAAAAGTACTGGAAGGACAGGTGGAGCTGAGGAATCAGCCAACAAGAAAGTCCTTGCTGGGAGGAAAAGAGAGAGGAAAGAAAATGAAGTGAATCGAGGAAGTATTAAGACTTACTGAATGTCAATAGTGACCTCATCCAAACTGTTAGGAGTCAATTTATTCCTTTTTTTTTTTTAAGATTTTATTTATTTGACAGAGAGAGACACAGCGAGAGAGTGAACACAAGCAGGGGGAGTGGGAGAGGGAGAAGCAGGCT